CCGTAGAATACGCTCCACGGGGGCACGACTCGGTTGGCTTGCGAGGGTTGAGGAACAGGGATCCAGCAAGCAAGAAGATGATCACGAGGGTGACGAACTTATTACAGCGTAATGCAGCCGGCAAGTGGTGGCGAGCGGGCTTCAATGAATCTAGACGGATACATGTGTAGCAGGGTTCGGCTCGATCTGAAGAAATCCGGACCGGTACCGCGTTTCATTGATCTACAATCCATAATGTTCGTACTGTAACATTTCGGGAAGCCTTCTTGTGTAGTTAAACCGTCCTCGTCAATCAACCTTTTGCCCCATGATGAGCGAACATGCACTACAGCGTACATTGAGGTCGATCATCCTATCAAACCCCTAAATCTATAACCTTGATCGCTGCATTCCTTGCTGTCCGACACACCTCTGGGACGCAAGAGCGGGCACCCCTTAGATCAGTCGAGGTTTGCCACACAGTTCGGCAGCTGAGGATGAACCTGGTCGGGGTAATTACGAAGTGAACGGTCCGCGGCAAATGGACGTAGCAGAGGAAACTTCTCTCCAGTACAATATTCTCAACTGACGGGAGACATCAGCATTCTCGCTGCACAGCCCCGAGAACGGTGGTTGACACACAGTATTCAGAACATTGAGATGGCCATCATCAAGCTCCACGATGAGTAGCACGTCCTTCGATACTGTACATCACAAGTGAACAACATATAAATTATACGGAGCTAGGCGAGCGCGTGGAGGTCGTTGTTCCCTTTTTAAGTAGGTAACGCCGTCTAACCCAATAGTCCATTCCTTGTTGACCTCTTTAGAAAGGATCGCCCGTGTGTTCGTTGCCACGGGTATCCTAATAGAAGCCAGGCCTGATTGACCCGCACACACAGCTAGGTCTACGATCTTCCTTCCCGGGAATCCGTATGAGGACCCGGATCGGATTGTGTAGGAATTCCTTCGACAGCACTTTCGGCTCTAGCTGATGTAACGAGGATGAATTGAGACATGTCTGGATGCGACACGACTCGGTATTTCGAAAGCAACGCATGAAAAGAGCCGGATGGCCTTGGTCCTAGTCCTTCGACGTTTACGAAGGGCATGGTGGACAATGAGATGTGGAGTCCCTATAGCGAACAGCGCAAAAAGAGGCATTTATGCTAGCCATGACGGCGTTGAATCGCCTGGCGCCCATTATCGGCGTGTACGACTTCTCATGATCACCGAGGCATCGGAAAAGGAAGGCGGTGGCAGAGTAACACTGGTCGATGTTGGCGGCGGCAGCAGCCATGAGATTCAGTCTATCTGCGAGAACACTGGCCTGCCGCTTGCACGTTGTGTGTTCCAGGACAAGGAGACTGTCATCTCGAAGGTCGAAAATCGGGGACTCTGCCGGGATTGACGCTCATGGTGATTGACGTGTACGAGGAAATATCTTA